CTAACTAACTAACTATCTAACTAACTAACTAACTAACTAACTAACTAACTAACTAACTAACTAACTAACTAACTAACTAACTAACTAACTAACTAACTAACTAACTACTAACCAACTAACTAACTAACTAACTAACTAACTAACTAACTAACTAACTAACTATCTAACTAACTAACTAACAAAACTACCATCCAAAACCAAACTTATACATGCAGTAGCTATACCCAGAGTAGCATTGCTACCCTAAAATAATAAAAATAAAAACTTGACTTTTTTTTAAGATTTTTTGTATTTACTTCATATGGGAGATGCCACGCCTACGATTGCAAGTTCACCATTGTTTTCCAAATGTTAGGTTAGGTTGATAGAAGGATGTATACTACATAAAATCCGAAATATACCTTGGCCTTTATTGGGCCTTTTATCATGGAAAATATTTGTTGGTAAAAACAAAAAAAACCTTATATAGTATTCACTGAATATATTATTGTCCGATATTCAGTAAATCAGTTTCCTGAAGGTTTCCTAAGAATTTTATAATCAGTGTTCGTGAGGGATGTTATATCAGGAATAATATTACTGACAAGATATTTGGATCTAATTTATACATGTTCTACATTAGTCTGAATCCGAATGTCCAATTTTGTATAGATGTGTCCGCAGTCCCGTGTGTCCACTCAGAATACATACCAACGTACTAACCTCATTCTTGCTCATTTTGAAGAGGCTTCTCTCAAGGGTCATCTCATAGAATTTCTCTCGTTAGGTCATCTCATAGAATTTCTATGGTTCTATCCACCGTTTCATTATTCTAAGAGACCTTATTGGTTTCTCTCACCCATGTGATCTATGAAACTTTCTTGTTTTAATAGTTTACCATATATATGTAATATTTGTGGATTTTAGCTGCAATAGTTTCTCAGATATAAGAACTTTAGTATTTAATTCATATGAAAGGTTCAAAGCCGCCCTTATAAAAGTCTGCCCATTTCCCCCCAAAATATTCATATTGATGTTAAAGTTCTTCGTACAAATTTTGAAGATTCTAGTTCTAATACTTTTCGAAATAAACGAATTTTAATATTTAATCCATATGGGAGGTGCCACGCCTCCACGATAGAAGATAGATATATTTTATTAAACGCAAATTTCTGAGACTTTTGAAATATCTTGGTTTTATTCTTGAAAAAAATCATTATCATTGTGTTAAAGCTCTTTGAAAAAGCATGAGGTCTAAGACCAAGAATGATATACTGGAGCTTCAGTATAAGAATAAAGAGTTTCTGTCATCAGGAGCGCTTTAACTTTCAGATTTGATAATTTCCCAAGTATCAGCTTTAAAAGAATAGTTGAAGGACTTGCATACCCCACGTATTGGCAAGACAACTATTCATTTGCTTCACCATTAAAACATGAATAAGGTCAAAGGTTATAACTAACAGACTGATCAGTACCATTATATGGGAATTGAATAATTTATGGACCGAACTGTATAAAATTATTTAATTAATTGCTTTATTAGAACAAATTATTTAAATTTTGAATGAAGGTAGGCTCAAAGTATTGTAGGCCAATTCTGAAAATAATTTAAAATGATTTAGGTTTATAACTTGTAAAAACTTTATTTTAAATTTGCTTTAAAAATTGGCGAACTTTAAAAGCTAAATTTTGTAAAATTCATGATACAAAAGAAATCTTTTTTCTGAGGGATGTTAAAGAAAAAATAGCGAAATCCTAAGTCATAGTATTGAAAAAGATCCGAATTCGAATAAAATAGCGTTTCTGCTAAAAGAACTTAATGTTATCCTTTATTTATGTCCTATTGAAAATTTTTAAAATCGGTTCCATACAACCTACCGATTTGGCCTTTTTAGCTCATAACTTCATAACTAAAAATATACTAAGATCAATGCAAAAATCTTTACAACTAAGTTGTCCTGACACTAGATCCTATAGAAACATCCTTTTATGAAACACCTTAAATGTCCATAATCTATATATATAAAAGAGTAGCGTTACTGACTGACTGATTCATCATCGCACAGCCCAAATGGCTAAACCTAGAATCATGAAATTTTGACAGTAGATGTGTTTTTGGTTATGTAGATCCACTAAGGAGGGATTTTTTGAAATTTGTACATTTACGGGTAAAAAGGGGGAAAACGGGTAAAAAAGGTTTTCTTAATTATCTTACACAGTATGAGTGATAAAAGAAAAATTTTAAATGCACCTGTATCTACTCTTAAAATGAGCAGATGGGTGTCTGGTACTTTTTTGAAATTCGTACTTTTAAGGGGTAAAAATGTGTAACAAAGGTGATTTTGGTACCTTTTTTGGCCCTATATAACTTTTGAACTAATTAACATAATAAAATTTTTATAAATGTTTTGGATGCAGCTCGCAAAATTATGAGACACCTGTTTCGTACTTTTGTAAATTTCAGTCCTTTTTGGATGTAAAAGGGAGAAACTGTATTTATGGTACATACTTTTTTTAGCACATTAAGAAAACTTTTTCGGTTTATTGAATTATTCCTATTAAATTATGGACTAACTCTGTAATATATATTGTAATAAAATTTTTGCTATTTCACTGGGGAAAAAAGAACCAAAAAGGGGAAAAACGGGAAATTTAATTTTATTCAAACTCATTGAGCCAATTTTTATAAAATTTGAAAAAGTTGTTTATTTAGTCACACAAAATAAGCTGTTGGTATATTATTTTGGAATTCGAGTACTAAGGCCTATATAGGACCAAATTCGAATAAATTGTTTGGTACTTTCTGTAAGTGGGAACTGTTTGGTACTTTTCTATTCTTCAAATGGTACCTTTTAGATTCTTTATAGTGGTTAACCGGAATACACGGTCCTTATTAAATGAGAATTTATTGAAAGAAATTTTTGTACTTTTTCGTTTTTCGAAGGTACCTTTGATATTTTTACGATATTGAACATAGATATTGAAAATAAAATTTAAAATGTAGGGACCTTAGTGAAGGAGAATCTACTGAAAGGGACATTTGATACTTTTTCATTCATTAAAATTATATTTTTTGAATTGTATATAATATTGAACACAGAAACATAAAATTTTTGAATAAATGAATAACTTATTAGAGGTATTTTATAGTACTTTTTTTCAAATAGTACTTTTCTATAATGTGGAAGCTAAATGAATGAAACTAAAAATACAAGCTTCTTACTGAATGCGAATTTAATCTTTAAAATAAATATTATAAGGATTGGCCCATATTTAACCCTCGATATCATGAGGTCATGGTGAACATCTATTTATTATAATTTTTTATTATACCCTACACCACTATAGTGAAGAGGGAATTATGCGTTTATGCTGATGTTTGTAACACCCAAAAATATTGGTATTAAACACACCTTAAAGTATACCAATTGGAATCACAGAATCAGAATCACTTTTTGAGTCGATCTAGCTATGTCCGTCTGTGTGTCCATGTAAACCTTGTGCGCACTATAGAGGTGGCAATTTTCAAGATATTTGGATAAAATTTGTCACATACTCTTCTTTTGACCCAAGGACCAAGAATATGGTTAATCGGTCCATTATTTCGTATAGCCCGCATACAACCGTACCCCCGAATATGGCAAAATTTAGTATTATATACGTCTTAATGCTACTGCTGATTTTCGTTATGATCGGGCCTAATTTGCCTCCATACAATTCGCCTTCAGAAAATGACTTGATGGTCAAAATTCGCGAATAAACCCGACTATAAATTCTTACTTGTTTTTAATAAGAGTTATATTCTAAAACTATTGGTTATATTAAAAGGGAGCCAAAAATCTTGCTGGAGTTACATAAAAATTCCTGTTTTCTCAGCTTTTCTAAAGCTCAAAGATGATTTTTTCGGTTTATTGAAAGTTTTAACTAGTTTTTTTTTTTTTGTTCAAATAGATAAATATTTGTTTGAACTAAATGTAAACAAAAAAATATCTTCGACTAAACTATATATATTGTTTACATTTCTTTTTCTTTTTCTTCTTCTTCATATCTATTATAAGTAGGTAAAACCTTATTACTTTTTTGTATAAATAGCTTTTGAAAGCTATTTGCATATTTACACACCCAATATTGGCAAAAGAGAAATATACAGCATTTACAAAATGTAGCATTAAATCGATGATAACAAAAAAAAAAAACCGTGAATAATAAAATATTACACAATCATGAAGAGGCAAATATGGCAAACTACTTATATATTTATAAAAGAAACTGTTAACCTATTAATTGTTTTTTATATAGAATAATATAAAATTATTTTAAATGTTTTTATCTTACAAAACACACATACACACGCTTATGAATCATGATTATTTTAAAAATAATAATAATTTCTTTAAACACGTAGAACATTTTTCAAGCTTTAATTTATGTATAACAAATACTGTATGCAGATTTTTAAAAGAAATACAATCTTTAGAAAAAACACAAAACTGGGACATACCCGTAGCATAGTTTGATCTATTGTACTCGTATTGAATTTATGAATTTTTATTATTATTTCTAAACAAACATGTACAAGACACTAAAATGAATGACTTTAGAAAGATAATAATAAAGAATTCATAAATTTATAATAATTGTAGCTCACAGTGAATTTGTTATGCTAAAAACATCATTTAGTATTGACAACACCTCAAAAAAAAACACTTGTTCATTTATACATTTCTGCCACCAGATTAACTGAAATTGTTTTAGTTTTTCAACATGACAGAATGACAGAATAAATAACAAAGTATGTCAGTTGCTCAATTTGTAAAGATATATATAATGTCAACATATGTATAACGATTCTTATTTAGACACCCACCCAAAAAAGAAACACTTTCTCATCATGTATCGTTTGAGTAATACAGCCAAAACCCCCAAAACATATTAACTACAACAGGTCTTATAGAAAATGTAGTTAAATTTCAAAATTAAACCACCAGCATTTAAAACAATTTAAATAAATATTTACTTACCAGCCAAATTAGCCAAAACCAGCACAATCAGTGTCATTAAAACAGTCATCATCAGTTTTGATGTCGTCCAACTTATAGAGATCTTTAACTTGCTGCTGCTAATGTTTTCGCTCAAACGTTTCATTATCGAGCTTTTAAAGTTGAGATTTTGTATAAAATTAAAATTTCGTTGAGGTTTTCGACGCATTATGTTTCTTAAACTTTAATTATGTATTTTGTAACTTTCTTTAGAATTTCTTTTTTATCTTTTAGCAAGTTTTAATAAAGTTAAAGTTGTTTAATTTATTTAAGTTCTACTTTTATGTAATATGTTCAACATATTTATAAATTTATTAATTAAAACCCCATCATTGGTCATGCTGAAATGAGATAGAGAGAGAAAGAAGTGAATAAAAAGAAAATTAATAATCAAAATAACAAGTTTGTTGCTTAATTCTTTTCCTATCTCTAATAAAAAAAGTTTATTTCTTAAGTCTTTTGTTATTTTCTAAGAATTTTTGTTTTAATTTGCAATAAAATGTTAAGAAATTATGTTTAGTTTATCAGAATTATCTGTGTGGTCTTGAATTTCGTATCATTATATATAGAAGTAATTATAAATATTTCTAGTTAAATTTTATAAACAAGAGTATTTTTAGCCAAGTTTAAAATTTGCCCTCTAGTCAATATCGTAACTGTTGTTTTTTTATAATTAGAGTTGTTCTAGTTTTTTTATAGTTGTTTAAAAGTTAATTTTACTTTAGAATAGTTTATAATTTCTAAATTGTTTTGAAATACTGAGAAAAATGTGATAAAATATGTCAGATTTTTCAGAGATATGCTTCTTCTGAAATCTATTTTACTATTTTATTTGACTTGTACTTTCAGTTCAATAAATTCATTATTAGGTTGTTTACTGAGGGATGTAAATTGTTTGCTGAAAAATAAAATACAGATTTTCACTAACTTAGGACTCTTAGGCCTATTAATTCCGCCTCCGTTTATCGTTTAACCTGTAGTTAATGAAAAATGTCAATTTATTGTTTCGATAAAATATGTATAACCAGACAATGAAAAAATGGGGGTTAATGTTTAATTTTATGTTTCTATTTTCAATATTATAAAAAAAATCAAAGGTACTTTGAGTACTAAAAGTCCCCTTTTATATGTTCTCGCTCACTTAATTTCATGTTTCTAGGTTCAATAGGCTCTCACTTAATCCGGGTCCTATATCAATAATTTTATGTTTCTAGGTTCAATATTATAGAGATTTCAAAAAGTACCTTTTGTAGAACGGAAAAGTACCAAAAAGACCCCTTTTATAGGTTCTCGCCTAATCCGGGCCCTACATGATAAATTTCATGTTTCTAAGTTCAATATTATAGAAAATTCAAAAAGTACCTTTTGTAGAACGAAAAAATACCAAAAAGTCCCCTTTGATATCTTCTCACCTAATCCGGGCCCTACATGCAAAATTTCATATTTCTAGGTTCAATATTAAGGAAAATTCAAAAAATACCTATTGTAGAACGAAAAAGTACCAAAACGTCCCCTTTTATAAGTTTTCACCTAATCAAGGCCCTGCATACTAAATTTCATGTGTCTATGTTCAATATTAAAGAAAATTCAAAAATTACCTTTTGTAGAACGAAAAAGTCCCCTTTTATGTGTTTTCACCTAAGCCGGGCCCTATATGATAAATGTCATGCTTCTAGGTTCAATATTATAAAAAAATTATGTAGAAAATTCAAAAAGTACCCTTTGGAGAGCGAAAAAGTACCAAAAGGTTCCGTTTTATAAGTTCTCACCTAATCCGGGCTCAGCATTTATAATTTTATGTTTCTAGGTTCAATTTCATAGAATATTCAAAAAGTTCCTTTTGTAGAACGAAAAATACTCCCCAACTAAGTACTCCGGGCTCTACGTACTTAATTTCATGTTTTTAGGTTCAATGTTATAGATAATTTAAAAAGTACCTTTTGAAAAACGAAAAAGTACCAAAAAGTCACATTTTATATGTTCTCACTTACTCCGGTCTCTACATGCTAAATTTCATGTTTCTAGATTCAATAATATAAATAATTCAAAAAGTACTTTTTGTAGAACAAAAAAGTACCAAAAGATGTGTTCTCACTTAATCTGGGCTCTACATACTTAATTTCATATTTTCAGGTTTAATGTTATAGACAATTTAAAAAGTACCTTTTGAAAAACGAAAAAGTACCAAAAACTCTCCTTTTATAGGTTTTCACATAATCCGATCCCTACATGCTTAATTTAATGTTTCTAAGTTCAATATTATAGAAAATTTAAAGAGTACCTTTTGGAGAACGAAAAAGTACCAAATCCCCTTTTATAAGTTCTTACCTAATCCGGGCCCTACAAGCTAAATTTTATGTTTCTATTTTCAATATTATAGAAAATTCCAAAAGTACTTTTTGTAGAACGAAAAAGTACAAAAAATTCGGTTTTGCTCATATCTCCATTATTTATGAACCGATTTTTTTTATGAATTGTTATAGATTTGGATCCCGAAGATATCTTCGGAAAATTAATTTCAACAAACATACAGACAGACAAACGAAGGTGAAAGGTATAAAAATAGGCCCCCTAGGCTATCTCCCTTAAGAATTAAAAACAAAAATTCGTATATCTAGGATTTATGAACCGATTTTTTATGAATTGTTATAGATTTGGATCCCGAAGATATCATCGGAAAATTAATTTCAACAAACATACAGACAGACAAACGAAGGTGAAAGGTATAAAAATAGGCCCCCTAGGCTATCTCCCTTAAGAATTAAAAACAAAAATTCGTATATCTAGGAAACCATAAGTTCTAGATTTCCCAAATTCACTGGCAACATTAAAATCCATATGAAAATGTTTGCGAGGAAATGGCCGGACTAGCAATAAGGAGTGTGACACCTCCCATGTGAATTAAATATAAAAATTCGTATATCTAGGAAACCATTATGGAATACTCAAATATTACACGGGCAACCTTAACATCCATGTAAACTTAGCGGATTAGCAATAGGGGGCTTGGTACCTCCCATATGATATATTAGAGATATAATCCGCAACATTGACATCCATGTGAACAATTTAAAATTAGTATATGTGGGAATCTATTAGAGATAGAATCTTAAAATTTTGAATAATTAACATTGAGATCTATATGAACTTTTAGAAAATATAGTTAAACTTGCAATAGGGGGCGTGGCCTATAAAAACTAAAAGCCAAAATTCCTCCCTCCCATATAAATTAAATACAAAAATTCGCATATCTAAAAAACTGTTAGAGCACGTTGCTTTGATTCCCTCCAAAGACTAATGTAAAGGAACGCACAATAGGCCGGTTAGTGGCCTAGGTGTATTTCTTCAGATCTGATATTGACATTCATACTCCTTAAAAATTAACTAACTAACTTACTCAGTATTATTATCTAAAGTGGTCTTGGTAAATCGTTACTAAACATCTATTTAGTACTTTTTTGAAATGCAGCCCTTTTAATGTAGTATTATAGTACTTTTTCAGCACTAGACATCTGTTTGGTACTTTTTTGAAATTCAGCTCTTTTAACAAAAATAAGAAGGTGTTTCTAATATAATTACATTATTTCCACTTTGTGTTGAAAACATTATTTGTTTATTAAAATATTTAATATTTTTTAACCTTTTGTTTTATGTTTCAAATTTTCTACATGATCAGCTTTTAATGAAGCATTCAAATTTATTTAACAATGTTTTATATATTGCCTTTTCTATTAAATATTATATAAATTACCATTAACATATAGATGACTTTTTAAAAGAAATATTTTTGCTTTTGTTAAAAACAATACAAAAAAAAAAACAATTTTAAGCGAAAGTTTTGTTTATTTACTTGATTAATTTGCTGTTAACTGTGATATTGACGAAATATTACTTTATTATATTTCACATAATCAATATTTAGTTTTGTTTAAAATAGAAATAAAAACAATTTAATAGAAATTTAAGAAAATTTTGCCTAAAACTGCGTGAGTGTTAATTTTGGCAAAAAGTTTTAAAAGTGAAATTTTTGTAGAAAAGTGCTAAAAATAACATGATAATTAAGTTAAGTTCATAATGTTATTATTAGAAGAAGCCTAAAACTAAAGAATTTTGTATAAACATTTGCATTTAATAGTGATTTAACTTTCAAAATTTTTAGTATTTTTAACTTTTTAACTAAATTTCCCACTAAAATAAAATTTTTATTACAATTTTCTGCCATCATAAGATAAATATTTTCACTTTTAACTAAATTTTCAAAATAAAAATATTTCCGATTATAAAACAAAAATATATAACTTTGTTTCCTTAAAAGTGTTAAAAGAAATAAAACTTTTATTATTATTGGTTTTTTTTATATGTTTGGTTGCATCATTAAAGCTTAAATTTTAGGAGATTCAAATCATACAAAATCTCTTATAAACCAAATTAAGTTCGTTTCTTAAGTCTTTTGTTTCCCATACCCACAAGAAATAAAGATTTTGCTTAAACTTAATGAAACAATTCATGTTAAACTACTTATTAACACTAAAACTAATAATAAAAAAAAGAAGTAGACAAAATGACTGACAGACTGAATGAACGTCAAATGAAATGCCCTCATGATTAATCAACAACACAAACATAAACAATTCCCAAAACATTATTACAAAATCGATGAAAGCCAACGACGACAACAACAATGAAATAAAAATAAAGCACTTCAACAGAATTAAATAAAAAATTACATAATAATACTCATTCATACAAGTACGTAAATATGTTGGGATTGAAATAATAAAAAACCCAAAACACTCATCGTTATATTTTGAAAACTGCCTGCAGATTTTAACAACAAACCCCCAAAAAACACACATTCGTAATGAAAATGATTCATTAAAAAAAACAGAGCAAAGGTAACCAAAATAAAGAGAGAAAAGGTTAAAAACGTATCGCATTTGACAACATATTCCATACCAACCAAGCAACACATTTAAATACAAGCAAAGTTTTAAGGTATTTAAGTTTGTCTTTTGTTAAACAAATTCAACAACAATACGTACTTTAACAATGAAAATGACACGACAAGAAAACCAGTTTCAATTTCAGTTACAATTTTAATTAGTTTATAGTAGTTGTTGCTTATTTGCTCTCAACTGGGACCTTACGGCACAGATAAGGGGGAAGTGTAAAAGTACTTAAACATAAACAAAATGAAAAATAAGTTAATTTTTTATAATGAATGAAATGGATTGAAATGTTATTGTCATAGTTGGGTTACAACCATAATTAAATTATCAAGAAATCTACATTTAAATGTAGAATTGTTTGTCTTGTCTTGCATTTATTATTATTTTCTGGA